ACACACACACAGGCACACAGCTTCCCACGGCCTGTTTTCCCAAACTGCTGGGCCGGGTGTGCAGCTGAGCGTGAGGCTGCAGACAAGGAAGAGCAGGAGGCAGCAGGAGCGAGTGCAGGCACCTGATCCTGTGATGGGAGGAGCTTTTCAGAAGGGCTGCTGAGAAATGGAGGCGGTTGTCTAAATTGTGATAGTTGTGTAGAGAATGGATTTGAAGAGAACAAGACTACATGCAGAAAGATTAGAACACTGATACAGTGGTCAAGAAGATGAACTGAAGAATTTGGAGGTAAAATTGACAAAACTTGATTGGATATGAAGAGTAAGTGGAATGGGAGAGTCAAAGACGACCTTCTAACTTGTGGATGGTAACGCCACTAAGGAAAAAATGAGGATTTTGAGGAGGGAAGAAAAAGATGGTAAGCTCACTTTGGTGCACATTAAACTTGAAGTACGGATGTCTGCCAGAGTGTTGATATGCCGTCATGATGCTCAGCGGAAAGGTCTGACTTACACATCACAGACTGGGCAGACACGCGGCAGGAGGGCTGGTCCACGTGGCGCCTAAGGCGGAGTTAGAGGAAATGGGACGGAACATACCGGCAGTTCCCTGTCCTTGGTGTCTGAGATCTTGTCTGAAGCAGTAAGGAGTTTAGACTTCACCTTTCAGGTTACAGAAGGAAGCCACTAAAAGATTTTAAGCAACAGAATAACATGAACAGATTGGATTTTAGAAATGATTTTAATGTCGATGTGGAAGATGAACTGGAGAGAGGAGAGGGTAGAGGCAAATAGGACAATTAAAAGATATTCAAATAGAGAGGAATAAAAAACAGAGGCTAAACATACAGTAGCAGCAACAAAGTTTTAAGGGGGGGAAAGAGTAATAAATATATATGGAGATCATTCACAAATTCAACATACATGTGATGGAATAAAACGTATAGTCCTACATGAGTGCTTGCAGCCTTCCAGCCTCAAGATCTACGTGGGGAATCTTGAGTCTTTGTTCTGAGAGAGGGTTCTAAGGGACATAGCTCAGCTACCATGCTGTGAAAAGTATGTTTTTTTAAGGAAATGAATGCGTGAAGAAGTTTTTAGACCATTGTGCTCTGTGTAATATAATCATCCTTTAGTATTTGAGGGTGGACTACAGTAACAGTTTACATCACTTTTCAAAATTGTTTGTTTTGTTGGATGCTATGTTAGGCAAAGATGGGGCTGCAGGTGAGAGCAGGTGCATCCAGGTTACTTATACAGCAATAGAATCAGTAAGATTTGGTGATGAATCAAATGGGAAGTAATGCAAAGGGAGGAATCCAAGATGACTCTTAACAAAGATGTCCAAAGTCTGGTGAGGTTTCCTGACAAAGAGACCTAGTGGTTCAGGACCAGGGAAATGATCGAACATTCCATCTTAATCACGTGGCGATGAAGTGCTGAGGGACTAATCACTAGCCCAGCAGGTGATTAGTCTTCTGTGACTGGAGCTCAGGAGACAGGCCTGGACATGGCTGGACACAGAGACTTGAGATTTACTGGCGTTTTTGTGGTTTTTGTAGCAACTGAATATATAGGTGATTTTTTTAATTATATTTGATTAATTGTGCTATTACAGTTGTCCCAATTTTTCCCCCTTTGCCCCCTCCACCCAGAATGTTTTCATATCAAATATATATATGTATATATATATATATATATATATATATATATATACACACATGTATATCTGTATATGAAAATGTAGGTGGCTAAGGAAAATGAGATAAGAAACAAGGCTGTGGATGACATTCTCATTTAAGGCATTATCTGAGAAACAGGAACTATCGAGGAAGGGGAATAGGCACCGCCCGATGTGCGGAAGAAAACACGGGAAAGCGGGTGTCACAGAAGCCAAGGCAGGAAAGAGTTTCAAGACAAGGAGTGGCTGTCAGTACCAAATACCACAGGTAAAGTCAGTGGATTTAACAACTAGGAGGTGACCGTTACCCTTAGCAAAGGCAACTTAAGGGGAATGGTGAGAAAAGGCTCCTGATACGTTTTAAAGTAGAAAAGAATCCTGACAGCTGTGGGAAGAGGACAGAACGAGGGAGAGATGAGAGCAGAACACTTTTAAGAAGCTGGATTGTGAAGGAGAAGGAGGACGTAAAACGACATTGAAGTAGAGACATGCAGGGAAAAGGGAGAAAATGTGTTGGAGCATTTTTGTGTTATTCGTTTTGAAAATAACAAATGTGTGTTATTTAAAACGTGTTATTTGTTTTGGTTGAGACTAGAGTAGTATATTTATAAACCAAGGGGTACGAGGGCAGATAAAATTCATGGGACAGCCGGATTTTGTATGAGCAAAGTCCCAGAGAAGGGAGGACAGGATAGAATTTAGCGCATGCAGGCAAAGTCTGTACTTAGACTAGAGCAATGGGAGGGTGACAGGCCCAGAGCACTGGGGGAAGGGTTGGGTACACGAAGGGAGTCCTGACAGATGGCAGTCAGGACGTAACAGGAAGTGACACTCTACAGTTGGCAGTCCAGGTGAATAATAGGGTATAGTTTCCTTAAACAACACAGCAGGGGTTTAGTATGCCTCCTCTGCTCTGTGACAGACACTTGCTGTCATAAAGTGGATAACATGCCGTGAAGCTTGCGGTCCTCTCTGGCACTCGCCTCAAAAGCTACTTAGCTTCTGTTCTTGCCTCTCTTCTCACTTATTCCCTTCCCACCCGCTTTCCTTTTTCTTCTCTCCTGTGCATGCTTCTCTCTCTCTTTCCCACCATCCTCTCTTCTTCTGTCTCATCTGCTCACCCACATCTCTTGACTCCATCTGTTCTTTTTCTCTTTCCCTCTTCCTCAAACTACCCAAAACAAGGGGGATAAGTCAGTTTTCAGTTTTTCTTACCTTTATTGAATAAACATTTGTTTTCTGTGTTTGAAACAAATAAAATGAAGTCTCTATACCTCTTTTTGTGGAATGAAAGGTGAGTCTCACCTGGCTTTGTCCTGTTGGCTAACAACCCTTGATAAAGTAAACTTTCAGAAGACCTTTCTGCGTACCTCTGTCAGAGCCTACGGCAAAGGAAGCAGAACTTTTCATGTGAATAGACACAGTGTTTATTTTGCACACACTGTTGACTCCATGTGAAAGAGAGGACTCAAATGTGTCAGTCTTGAAGAAGAACAATGTCTTCAATGTTTGTATGTTTTGTACTAGTGAAGAAAAAAGAAAAAGACTCAGAAAATTCATATTGATGCCCCTATGTTCTGTTACAACTGGAATTCAAGTGAGAGGAGAGAATGAAAAGCCAAATTTCTGGCCAAAGAAAACTGGTTGCTTCTGGAAACCTTCATGCTGTCTGTTTGCTAGCCAAGAAAATCAGTGTCCGTTCTGTTCCCCTGACCTGGCAACGAACAGAATTGTTGCCCTGGTAACAGCAGATGACACTCCCCACGCAGAGAGGCCACTGCCTAGCCACACACAGCACTGTGGGTTCTCTCTCTGGCTGTGGCTTCTCAGGAGCACACACAAAACTGGGTTTGACACTGACTTTGGCTCTTTAGGTGACTTAATGGCACATGTTTTCAACTGCATTCAGCAGAACCCATCCTCGACACTGATGAGGATTTCTGCTGACAGTGGACATATAGAAATTGTATCCATTGCTAAATTCTGAGCCCAGGCTGCCCACAGCCTAAATTATTGATCATTATCTTTAGAAATAGTGCTCAAATTGTATGACTTTTAAACAACACCTCCAATTACAAACTTCTTATTTACATGTTTTGACATGCCCTTTCTAAAGGAATCTTTAATAAGATTGTTTAAAACTATTTAATTTTTATTAAAGGAAAATTAGAAATAGAGAGAAAGACTCTTTAGAGAGCACCAGGCTATGAGGAGGGGCCCCAGAAGAAGTCCAGGTGAGAATTCCCAGAAGTTCAGGTCCAGATTCCCAGAAACACGGGCCACATTGGAGGGGTGGGGGGATGCCATTCCCCAGGTACACACATTGAGAGTGTGCAGTGGGCTTTGCATGGATGACCTTCACGGGTAAAGATGGGGCACAATCTAGAAAGAATAAAAGGCCAGAGCAGCCCTTACGAAACTGTAGTGAGGACCAAACTTGTCTGTGTTTCCCAGCCCCTTGGACTGTTTCACACATGGTCACCCAGGAGAGCGTCCAGTGCCGCAACTGGGTGCTCCCCTTGTGCTGCTCAGCCGTGCCTCTCCTTCCTCGGTGCTCCATCCCTGCTGCCTTTCACAGGAAAATGAAAGTGCCTGACAGAATAATTCACAGGAAATTACTCACTGGAGAGAAAGCTCCATTATATTCTTTTGGTGTTATTCATGCTTTACTTTCGTAGACACTTGTGCCTTTGGATTCTCTTAAGATCTTATAATCAATAGAAAAGGACATCCTGACGGCAATGCCTGAGCCACAGAGAACAAAATCTTAGAGGAGCATTTCAGCCGGTGTGGCCGACCACTGGGGAGGAGCTTGCGGGCAGGAAAAGCACACTCCTACCCTAGGGACCCTACCACAGTGATTATCTATTCATTACATTTAAAAAAAATTATCTTTTGCCATGAATACCTCAAAATTATTTTGACATTTATTTTCATTGTCCACAAGGACTTCAAATCTTTTCCTTCTCTTTCAGCCCACTTCTGACACCTAAATCCTGTGCTTGATTATAAAATCTTAAGAGAATCCAAAGGCAAATGTGCCTACAAAAGTAAACCAAGTACTTACTTGTATAGGTATGACTTCATGGGTATTCGAAGACATAAGATTGACTCCCTCCCCAGTTTGGTCCTTCTTGAGAGTTGAAACCACCAAATTTCCATGCAGTTCACTTTGTAAGTTTGATGAGAACAGCCCTCCCTTCACAAAGCATAAGGCTGTCCTTGCATGTACTTTAAGATTGTCTTCTTTTAAATAATTTTTGCTTTCTAACTTGTTATGCTTTTTTCTCACTTCCCCTCTCCCACTTGAACTTCTCAGGACAAATGTTGCCTTTCACTTCACTGCCAGCCCCTCTCAACCCCAGGTAAGTGGAAGGCATCAAGGTCATGACTCTACTATTAGTTTTACCCAAAGAAACTATGGGAACAAGTAGAGTCAGCATGTGGTTCTGCTGTTCATGTTTCACAACTGAAGATATATTTGTATTTTTGGAATATTATTCATGTTCCTAGGATTTTGGACACAACATTTAATCTTATCACCTAAATTGGCGTGAAATGGAAAGCATGATATTTGTTTGTAGATGTTCCTGAGCTCAACTTTCATTCAGCAAACCATGTGCCTACTACGCTCCAACCAGTGTTAGACTGTCCTAGGTGCTGGGGATAGCAGGATGAAGAAGAGAAAGATGCACCTTCTGCCCTCACGGACCCTAGATAATCAGGACAGGGCGAGGGTGGGAGACTGGGCTCAGAAAGCGGAAGGCCAGCCCAACACTACACAGATACACAAAGGATTAATTGACCTGGAGATACAAAAAAAGGGAACAAATTTTAATTTCTACAGTGTTATGATGCAATAAATTGTTTCACCTGTGTAAAGAGAGAATAAGAATGCTGGAAAAATTATAATAAGAATTAGAATTTGCGCTGTGCTCTACATTATATCATAATCATATTCAGAATAAATACATGAAAACTTTAGTTATTCAGGCTGCTTTTTTGTGACACTTCTAGTTACCTTCTTTTTATTCTTTCATGGCTTCTGAGAGTAAAGTTTATGCAGCAGTTTAAAACAGATTTATTTAATGTAAATATTTATTTATTGTAAATCTTCTGCAGGCTCTAATACAGTTTGGTCATAAATGGCTAATTAATTTTTCTTTTGAATATACTAAAACTGGGATCAACACTATATGGGCACTATTATGAATTTATTACAGCCACTTACGCCATGATGAATATTTAGCAACTAGTTTTCAGAGAGAAAACCCTGATTTGTAGCATTTCCCCATTTCTGTGGCATAAATATCTTCCCCATGATCAACTTCAAGCCACTGACGTGGTCAGTGAACACAGAAGTGGGGGGAGACCTGTACCATCAGCTCCCCTAACCTGTGCGAGCCGACTCCCACACATGCAGTTAAATTTCTTGGCAGTGAAAGCGTCCACAGTGGCTATTTACTGCCACCCAGTGATAGAAGGACTACAGGCTTGCAAACCATTGCCCTCAACATATATTGCCTAGTTAACTCATGAAATATTTGAAAGCACTGGTTGCTAGGTGCAGTGGGAGACATCTGGAAAGGGAGGAAAACACTTGCACCCCAGCTACAGAATGAGTATAGCCTAATGGTTCTGTGCAGAGCTACAGTAAACAGGATATACCGAATGTTGTAATGCACTTCCGTTTTGTAGATCAGAACCCAGCGACGATTATACATTATGGGCTCCTTTTCTTATAAAATGCTACATAAATATTAAAGCCCAAGTAGTTTGCATATAGACACCAAACAAGAATGAAATATATTTAGAACAAACCAATAAAACAAAATAGAAACTCTTCAGTATCTGTGAAAGTCTTACCTTACTATTAATTGTCCCCATATTGGCCTGAGTTTTATATCCTCCCCAACTGTGGAAAAGATTCTCCACTCCTATAGGCTCACCCCAACTATTGCACATTCTGAGACAACCTTTGCCATCACTTTTTGCCCCTATTCTTGCAGGTAGAAACAAGTTACAGAAACTGGGCAGGTAATCAGGGCCCAAGATAATGACTTTTGGCCTAAATTCCATCTGTTGCTTTGGGTACTTGTTATTTGTTTATTTCTGATAAAAAGTTACATTATTAAGGCAAGGTTCAAAATATATATATATATATGGGGTTTATGGCAATTTAGAGATAAAGGAGACTGATAATATTTTGCCTTATCTAAGGCTTTAGTATGTGTCTACTTCTTGCACAAAACCAGCCCCTGTAATAGGTAGCTGTATCTGTTGCTCATTTTTGCTAACAGTAATCACAACATTGCTCTTGAGTTTGAGACGTGGGTTTCACTGAGAAGCAAGAGCACCCCTTGGTGATTCCAGAGGGTTCACCTTTGGAAGATCCCTGTGTTGTGTGCATTTGAATCAAGCTCCAAAATGAAAGCACAAAGCCAAGTGCATTCTCAGGAGTGATACCATCTGTTACAAGGCATGAACAGACTTCCAAATAGCAGCATTAAATGACAGTTCTTAATCTTGGGATTCCCCACCCCTGCCCCACCTGAAGGCTTTGGATTATTGAAAAATATCCTATCTTTATTGCTCTGATTCTTTAAATAAGGTTAGTAATGAGGATGTTGGAATGCAAAATTAAGTTTTGACATGTTTTGTCTGTCCTTTAAAGTGTTAGGTTTATAAGAGTCCTAAAATACGAGACTTGTTTTGGTTGGTACAGTCAAACTTTTATTTTTTAAAAATTTTTAGAAGATTTTATTTATTTACTTTTAGAGAGAGGGGAAGGGAGGGAGAAAGGAAGAGCAACATTGATGTGCGAGAGACACAGCAGTCGAACCGGTGACCTTTCAGTTCTCAGTCTGGCACTCAAACCCACTGAGCCTCTCCAGCCAGGGCGGTTCCCTCAGATCTTGGATCATGTATTTTATGTCAAGTTTCTCAACCAGTTACCATATTTATAACTATTGGGTAGAAGTCCCCTTTTTCATTATCAACGACATCTTTAAAAGGTAGAGCTAATTTTTTTTCAGGGCATTTATCTATATATCTTTCTATTATGTTTCTGATTCTGATGATATTGGAGAAGTACTTTAGAGATAATTTCAGCTTGCCCAAAATTGTGAACATCTATTTCCATCCATTTCAGGGGGCCAGACATAAAATTTGGTCTTTGGATCTAAATGTCATCTTGCTCTATTCCAGACAAAAAATAAATTCTTTAGAAAAAGTCTGGTGGAGGGAGGGGTGTCTAGAGCTAATTCTTGCCTATAGAAAGGCGGTTAAGATTCTTGAAGAACAGGCTTATCTGCTTTTCAAGGTGGAGCTTCATATTTCAAAATGACGGCACAGAAGTAAATCGTCTCATATTACGTCCCTCGCGTCCCCAGTTCAAAGGTTAGAGGATCTTCTCAAGTAGAAACTGCAATGAAATATAGGAAAGTATCGCTGAGAAAGCTAAACCATAGAAAATCAAATGACAGTATTGTACGCAGTGGCTACTTTGTTTTACTCACTGACCTGTTCCTCCTCCGGGCGCAGAGCCCTGCAGAGAGCGGTTCTCAGCGGCTGTGAGATGAACGGCTGGTTCAACCACCGGAGGTTGCTGAGGTTGGCTCCTGACCTTCGTGCCTGATATTAGAGAAAATGATCCCGCTCATGTGAAAAACAGTTTGAGTTTGTCATTGCACACATTTCTTACTATTAACGAATCCTGTCTTTTTCTTATTCTCAGTATTTTCTGTACAAATTTCCTGAAGACGTGGACTCAGTTATCATTAAAGTTGTGTCTAAAATGGCTTATCCATGTTCCGTTGTCTCAGTCCAGAATATCATGGTGAGTCTTAGTAAGTTGTCCACCTTCCAACATGGAGCATTGTGTTGCCCAGGATAAATAAAAGGGAAGGGTGGATACATACACGTGTCTATGTATCTCCCGCAAAACTGCGAAGTTATAGAGGAGCAGTACCTTGGGTGGTTAGTGTTTGGACACACTGCTTTGGGGTGATGGTGGGTAGCTGACTCCTCATTAAACCAAAGGAAGGGAGGAAAGGAGGCAGGCAGGGAGGTGTCATCCCAACAGAGTACAAGGAAGAAGATGAAGTTGTGGAGGACGAGAGGAAAGATGGAAACCTACCACTTGTCTAAGTTTCTTTTTCTTTTTTTAAAAAAATATTTTATTATTATTATTTTTTAGAGACAGGGAAAGGGAGGGAGAAAGAGAGGGGGAGAAACATCGATGTGAGAGAGAAATATCGATCATTTGCCTCACCCATGTGCCCAACCGTATGCACCCGACCGGGGACTGAACCTGAAACCCAGGCATGTGCCCTGACCGGGAATCAAACAGGCGACCTTTTGCTTTGTGGGACAATGCCCAGCCCACTGAGCTACACTGGTCAGAGCCTAAGTTTTTTAAATAACAAAAACTGTTATGATTTCACTTATACATGGAATAGAAAACAAAAAAATAAATGAACAAAAAAAACAAAAACAACTTCACAGATATAGACAGCAGGATGGGCAGACGGTTGAGGAAAAGGGTGAACTGAATAAAGGGAGTCAAATATATGCTGATGAGAAGACCCAGACTTTTGGTTGTGAGTATGCAATAGCATATACCGATACCAAATTATAATGTCATACACCTGAAACTTATACAATGTTATTAACCAGTGTTATCTCAATCATTTAAAAAAATTATTATAACATTAAACCTTTTCTGTCTCAGAGTGTTAGTAAAAAAAGGAAAGGTATTATAAACTGTAAGATAACTTCAGTTCTCTTTGGTATAAAGTGACCTTGACTTTAGAGGACAAGCCACCAAGTTTTAGGAGACAGTTTCATGACTGTTCTGGGGGGAAATGTTTCATGGTGTATAGCCCAACAAGGAAGCCCCTGCTCCGTATGTGTGGTGGGTGTAGCATGGCATGATGCGACCTTAGTGACGCTTTCCTTTTTATCCCTCCTGTACGTTGCAGTGCCCAGTCTATGATCTTGACCACAATGTGGAATTTAATGGTGTCTATCAGTCCATGACCAAGAAAGCAGCCATCACACTACAGGTGAGTCATCGCTGTCGTGGTCACTGTTGTCAATGACAGTGTGTCAGTTTACCTCCCGGAGCAGCATTCGAAAGCGATTGCCTTTCACTGTGTACCTTGGATCTCTTCCCTTTTTGATGGTTTTAAAAGAGAGATTGCTGGGCAAGGATGGAATCTTGGGAGCCCGTGATGCAGTGGGCCACATATCTGACAGATTGCTTAGAAAGGTAAAGCAGAATATTTCAGTCTTGTCAATGGGGGATGCTGATTTAGGGAAAAGCTTATCTCGTCCATCTAAAACAGTTGAGCACAGTCACATAACCATTTGTGACGGAAATGGTAGGCAAAAGAGGACTTCAACTCTGAACAGAACAGACACTGTCAAAGGAATGTGGACCATATCTGTGCAGTAATATGCCCTTTTAGTGTTTGTAATTAATTTATTGTTTCAATGGTAAATGTACAGCAAAAATATCCACACATGCCAGATATTTTCCAAGAGGTTCTATTCCTGACTTTGGGGTGGTATTACTGGAGAGATCTTTGATTACTGATGCTCTTTGTTGAGTAATAGCAAAGAATGAAGAGAGATTAATTATAATTTTGGTATCAGACCTAAAAACTTCAATCAGTCCAGCTTTAATTTTCCTCAGCCTCAGATATTTATTTCTTCCTTAGCAGCCCTACATTGTATGGTCCCAAATAATAAAGGACAGAGAAATGATCATAATAAAGAACTCACACCCTGGCTGGTGTAGCTCAGTGGATTGAGTGCAGGTCTGTGAACCAAAGGGTTGCTGGTTCAATTCCCAGTCAGGGCATGTTTCTGAGTTGCAGGGCAGGTCCCCTGTGGGGGCTCACGAGAGGCAACCAATCAGTGCAACTCTTGCACATTGATGTTTCTATTCCTCTCTTTCTCTCCCCCTCTTCTTTTCTCTAAAAATAAATAAATACAACCTTTTAAAAAAGAACTCATATTTTACATCATTCAGGAAACTAAATTAATGAAGTACAAAGCATATTCGTACATAATGACTTTGAATATATTTGGCAATAAATTGTTACTTCTCTCCTGGACCCATGATTCAGTCTTGGGCTATTTCTCAGCGATGATACCAGAAATCTGGGGTTGTTAAAAGAAAACAAGAGTAGTAGAAATACAATACGCCTGAAAGACTGTCTTGCAAAGCAAGCTTCATTCATGGATCAGGAAACTGGGACACAAAGAAGCACACTTAGAGAAAGTCAAAGCCACGGCTAAGTCAGGTCTCCTGACTTGTCTTTGCCTCCCGACACTAAATTGCTTATTTAACTGCTGACTGTATGGTTTTTAGCAAAGTCATTTATCATTAGATTTGAGAATAATAAAAAATTAATGTAGTGAATTTAAAGTGCTTTAAAAATAAAGTTTATTGATTTTAAAAACAATGCATAAGTATTCATTATGACAACTAGGCCACTGACATACTACTTATCTGGTGCCTATTACAGTTTTAAGGACTTAAGTGGGCACGAGATAGATGAAAATTGGAAGCATGCATCTATTTACCTTAGCCGCTTGAATGCAGCAATTACGTGACTGTGGATATGGGAAAGTCTCTTCTAAGAAGTTAGGAAGCAAGGGTGAACTTCACCTTTCTTCCTTTTCCTCTTCCTTTCTGCTCCTCCTGTCCCACTGCCATAGGCTTTCTCCCTTCTTCTATCTTTCTTATCATGAGAACATAAAAACACATCATAAGATTGTTATGTCTTGTGCAGAAGAAGGATTTTCCTGCCAAGCAGTTCTTCGTGGTGTTTGTGATAAAGCCGGAAGATTATGCTTGCGGAGGATCTTTCTTCATCCAGGGTAAGAGGCGGTGAGGAGTACTGGGCTACTCAGAAACACCTGACCAAGGAGAATGGCAGGGAAGTCAAACACTCATTTGGCCTTTTACAACCATTTCTAGTTCCAAGCGAGGGTCATTAGCAGTGACTTGGTAAGGCAGTGTGAGAGATACTTGAAAAAATAAATAAAGAGGATGAAATGATAGATCTAAAAGGTGTTAGTGATATTATAAAATGTCCCTTAGTACATCACATTATTTGCATCAAAATCGTGTGCTCCCTCAGACCATGTGAAATTGGCTCTTTTCCCAACAAATATTTGCTACTGGGAAGCAATTATTGGTATAGAGCAGACCAAGGTCCATTTTCTAAGATCAATTTAGTAGCCAACAGTAATGGAGTCACTTATATTTATCCATAGTCATCATTTCTACAGGGATGTCTGAGGGAAAATTGAGTTCACAATTTCAGTTGCCAAAACTGTAGCTTGCAAGATAAGAAAGTGGGACAGCTTGTCTGATAACTAACTATCTCGGGAATAGAATAGGCTGTTGATTGAAAACACAGGTTCCCGGCAGCTGATGTGATATGTGATTAACACAGCAGATGTTTTACTCTTAAGTGGAACATGGTTCCCTTGGTATTTAGGTGACATTTCTGTTCCTGCATTCTTTGATCTCTTAATTACATAGCTGTATCAAGTTTTGCTAATGTTCAGTGTTCTTTGTTAAACTACAAGCTCTTTGATGACTATATAAAATAAAACAGGTTCTCACTGGCTAGAAAATGCAAACCAAAAGATGGAGTAATTTCCTATTTTTGTACCTCTTTCCTTCATATATCCATTGCATGTTGAGCCATGTGGATGTCAGGGAAAGGATCAAGCCTTCTTCATTCAAGCAGGGAGGCTGAAATCTCCTTTGTATTTGTTAGTGCTACCAAAATGCACCCAGACAAAGGCCAAATTGAAAGTTTAACCAAGATGCCCTGGCTGGTGTGCATCAGCAGACTGAGTGCTAACCTGAGAATGAAAGAGCCACCAGTTCGATTCCCAGTCAGGGCACATGCCTGGGTTGCAGGCCAGGTCCCCATTAGGGGGCGGTGCATGAGAGGCAACCAGACATTGATTAATCCCTTTCTCTTTTTCTCCCTCCTTCCCTTCTCCCTAAAGATAAATAAATAATTTTTTTAAAGAGAGGTATTAGATGGTTTGAAGGTTTGATAGGTTAGGTTTTCCTCTAGTTCTTGTTAAAAGAAAATTCAGCAATCAGTTAATTTTGGACAACTTTTGAACTGCTCAGATAAGATGCCAGGAGTCTAGTATCTGATCCATTTTGCCTTTTTTTTTTTTTTTTTTTTTTTTTTGCCAGAAAAGAAGAACCAGACCTGGAATCTACAACGAACAAAACACCTTAAAGTGACCATTGTCCCTTCCATTAAAGGTCAGAATTGGCTCCAGTATTCAGTGGAGAGAGTCCTATATCAGGCAGTCGACTGTGTAACTCAATGCTAACACCATCTTGCCAGAGAAACGTGAGAAAATTAATGTACACCTTAGAGATAGAAGAGAGAATCAAAGCATTTTGTTAAATCCCTTCCAGAAAGAAAGGAACCTCAATTATGAAATTGTCATATACAGAAAGTCCCTTCCCATCTTCCCCAAGGAAGTCATCATGGTGAAAAGTCACCCTTTGTGGATATAATGTCTGGGTGACTCCCAGTAGCTTTGTACTTTAAATGGAGATATCTCAGGACTTAAAAATGAGTATGAGGAAGATAGATAGGCCTTTGAAGCTGTTCTGTCCCAAACATGGCCCTCTTTTCTCCTGAAGACATCCTGCCTAAAGTTGTTTCTCTTCCCTCAGGTTCTGTTTTTGTGAAATCCATTCTTCTCAGCTTCCTCATCTTCTTCTCCTTCTATTTGGTGTACCTGCTGATCGCGTTTGTTCATTATGTCAGGTAGGTCAAGAGTTCCAAGAAATGAACCCTCATTACCTGTCCTCCTCAGTAATTAGCCATCAGGCTTTAGTGCTATGTTGACTGGACTTAAATCTACCTCAGCCACTACCTGTGTGACCTTGGACAAGTTATGTAACCTTCCTGTGTTTCAGTTTCCTCATCTGTAAAATGAGATAATAACTCACTTCACAGAATGGTGTAACTGCAGTGTTTATGTCAGTGTTTCAAACAGAACAGGTGCTGCTAAAGCGTCAGTTATTTTAGCAGGAGTCAGTTAATGAGAGCAGGAGTAAGATGCTTTGATACTACATTACCATGTGCTTTCTTACTGTTTTACCATCAATTTTCCAGTAAAATGTCCCTTGATAGACAGAAAAGGAGATAATTGTACTATAATTTGACCACTGAAATGCCCAGGGTTCAGAGCCCCTCGTAAAAGGAGCTCTCATCTTTCCTTGCCACCCTCAGTGGGCCTGAACCTCGGCAATTCTCTGCTTGTTTGTTGTTGCCTGTGTGAAATGGCAACAAAGAATGGCAGGAGGCATACAATAAAATAAATGCTCTTTCTCCTGTGCCACCTGCAGAAAAGGCTCATGGCTACCACCATTATAGAGCTATCTCCATGATACAGGCCTGTCTCTGACTCATACATAACTGCCTTTTGTGACATTTATGAAGCTTTTCAGTAAATAAACTGACTTCAAAACCCTAGAGTTATCACTGGTCTTATCCAAGACAATCTGAGCACCAAAACACTTAAGGAGAATAATGAATTATAAATCATTGAGAAAAATAGAAATTCATGAACCTACCTTGACAAAGTAAGGAAGTGAGGGACAGAGGAACAACCTAAATACTTGCAGATATATATCCAAAGAATGCAACAAAGTTACTAAAACAAGTGCACATCAGGGAGAGGAGTTAGTAGCAAATACTGACAGTGGGAAGGAGGGCTTTTGTCTACAGCACAACACCAAAAGCTGGTGTAAATATGGAGGGAGTGTTGGAATTGGGAAACTATTGTTTTGTGTAGATCAGGTTAAGAATCATCAGTGGATACCAAAACGAGAAGGAAAATCTGATGAGGATCAAGATATTTACATGTCCTTACAGTGTATCACCACAAATTGCTTGGTAGTTGTAAGGAGGGAAATAGCAGCCATACAGTAAAGAAATCAGACAACAAATGACTGGGTGATCAAAATTAATATGAGCAAAGAGAAGATGAACAGCGCATGCCCCTGGAGTGATACTCTGAGAAGGACACAATATCACATATACTGTACTCCAGCCAGAAATGCAGTATTTTGAATATAATCATAAAGAAAAATTAAAATCAGCATGACAATCATTCTATTAACATGTCTTAAAAACTGAAGAAATGTTCAAGATTGAAGGAAACTATAGAAATTTCACACCTAAAGACAATACCTGATCTCAGACTGGATCTCTCTTACTAGAGAAAAATATGCTATAAAGGACATTACAGGTCAACTGATGAAATTGTAATATGGGTGGTAGATTGGATAAGAGCCTGAACTGAATGACTTCACAGGTGAATTTTACCAAACATTCTGAGAAGAACTAATACCTTTCCTTCTAAAAATATTTTTAAAAATTCAAGAGAAAGGAAGACTCCTGAGCTCATTTCACAGGCCAGCATTATCCTAATTCCAAAACCAGATAAAGACACTACAAAAAAAAAGTATAGGCCAATATCCAAGACAATCTGAGCACCAAAACAAAATCTGATGAATACAGACACTAAAATCATCAACAAAATACCAGCAAACTAAATACAGCAATGCATCACAAAGATCATCCACCATGATCAACAGAGATTTATTCTGCGAATCCAAGGTTGTTATAACATTTGAAAATCAATAAATGTGATCCACAATGTAAATAGAATGAAGGATAAAACCACATGATCATATCAATACATGCAGAAAAACCATTTGATGAAAACCAGCATCCATTTATGATTTAAAAAAAAAAACAAAAACCTCTCACCAAAGTGGGAAGAGAGGGAATGTGCCTTAACATCATAAAGGCCACATATGACAAAGCCACTGCCAGCATCATACTCAATGGGCAAAAACTACGAGCATTCCCCATAAGATTGGGAACAAGACAGGGTTGTCTACTTTCACCTCTCTTATTCAATATAGTACTGGAAGTCCTAGCCACAGCAGTCGGACGAGAAGAAGAAATAAGAGGCATTCGAATTGCAAAGGAAGAAGTAAAACTGTCTTTATTTACATGTGACATGATACTGTACATAGAGAACCCCAAAGATACCACCAAGTAACTACTAGAACTGATCAATGTATTCAGCAAAGAAGCAGGATACAAAATTAATATCCAGAAATCAGTTGCATTTTATATGCCAATAACAAACTAACAGAAAAGGAAATTAAGAAAACAATCCCATTCACAACTGCTTCAAGAAGAATAAAATACCTAGGAATAAACCTAACCAAGAATGTAAATGACCTGTACTCAGAAAATTATAAGACACTGAAAAAAGAATTTGAAGAAGATACAAATAAGTAGAAGCACATACTATTTTCATGCACAGAAAAAATTAACATCATTAAAATGCCCATGCTATCCAAATATTCAATGCAATTCCTATCAAGATTCCAATGACATATTTCACAGAACTAGAACAAGTATTTCAAAAATGTATACGGAATCACAAAAGGCCCCCCATGGCATGGTGATCTTGAGGAGGAACAAAGTTGGAGGACTCATGCCACCTAATGTGAACCTATATACCATAAGGCTATAGTAATCAAAGCAGTATGATACTGGCATAAAAACAGACCCACAGATCAATGGGACTGAATAGAGAGTCCAGAAGTAAATCCACTCCTTTATAGTCAATTAATATTTGACAGAGGAAGCAAGCACATACAATGCGCTAAAAATATTTTATTCAATGAATGGTGTTGGGAAAATTGATGTATGCAGAAAAATGAAACTAGACCACCTTCTCACACTACACACGAGAATAAATTCAAAATGGATTAAAGACTTAAATTTTAGACTCAAAAGCATAAAAATCCTAGAATAAAATATAAACAGCAAAATCTCAGACATTGCTCATAGCAATATTTTACTGGCTATAGCTCCCCAGGCAAGAAAAATAAAAGAAAAAATAAGTGAGACCACATCAAACTAAAAAGCTTTTGCACAGCAAAGGAAAACATCAATAAAATCCAAAGACAACCCATAGAATGGGAGAACATATTCGCCAATACACCTGATAAGGAGTTACTGTCCAAAATTTATAAAGAACTTATAAAGCTCAACACCAAAAAATACAAAAAAATTAAAAAGGACAAAGGACCTCCATAGATACTTCTCCAAAGAGGACATACAGGTGGCCAATAGACATGAAAAGATGCTCAACGTCACTACTCATCAGAAAAATACAAATTAAAACCACAGTGACATATCATCTCACACCTGTCAAAACAGCTATCATCAATAAATCAACAAAAAAGGGCTGGTGAGGATGTGGAGAAAGGGGAAACCCTTGTGCACTGTTGGTGGAAATGTAGATTGGTGTAGCCACTGTGGAAAGCAGTATGGAACTCAAAATATTAAAAATGGATCTGCCTTTTGACCCAGTAATCCTGCTTCTGGGAATATGTCTGAAGGAACCCAATACACTAATTTGAAAGACCATAAGCACCCCTATGTTCATTGCAGTGTTATTTACAATCACCAAAATACGGAAGCAGCCAAAATGTCCATCAATTGATGAGTAGATAAAACAACTATGGGATATTTATACAATGGAATTCTATTCAGCTATAAAAAAGAAGAAAGTGTTGTCCTTTGAAACAATGTGGATGGACCTGGAAAACATTATGCTAAGTGAAATAAGTCAGTCAGAGAAAGACAAACACTGTACAGTTTCACTCATATATGGAATATAATGAACAAACTGAACTAACAAGCAAAATAGACAGACTCATAGAGAGCAGGGTGACAGCTAAGTGAATGGGAGGTTAGTGGGTGGAGGAATTGAGCAAAAAAGGAAAAAGGACTCATGGACATGGACAACAGTGTGGTAATTGCTGGGTGGAGGGGGAATAATGAGACTAAATGGTAGTAGAAAAATACAATAAAAAACAAATAAATAAATTTAAAAAGAGTATTATATGTTAAATTTGATGATTATACTGTGGTTATATAAGTGGATATCTTGATTCTTTGGAAATATTTAGGCATAAAATTTTATGCCTTACTTTCAAGTGGAAAAAATATATACACACACACATATACATACACACTCACACAGAAAGGGGAAAGATAATAAGGCAAAGGAGTAATATGCTAACAATAAGGGAATCTAGTTAAAGGATATATGAGTGTTCTATTCTTATTCTTACATCTCTGCAAATTTGAAGTTATTTTCAAATTAAAAGTTAAAAACAAAAACTCCAGTCTATAGGCAATTAGTATACCCAGGTAATACATACATTAATTATCAGCTCAATTAATTTATCAGATGTCAGTCACTAACATCTAACAAGAACCTGCTCTGTGCCAAACCCTCTAAGCAAGATGGTCTTGTCTACTGACCCACCACAGTGGGTACTAGGATTATTACCATTTGAATCTTATGGAAGTTGAAGCATAGAGAGATGAAGCAATTTGACCAAGAATTCACAGCCAGTAAAGGAATGAGCTGGAATTTGAACGCAGGCAAGCCTGGCTATTGAGCCTTAGCTTTTAAGGAGGCTGGTCAAAATGGGTGTAGAGGGTTAGGGCATGTGAAGGAGGACAGTGCTGATCAAGGAGGCCAGACCAAATGCCTGACACCCCAGCGTGGATTCCATTGCAGAAAGGTCCAAAGCTTCCAGTTTTGATTCAGATAAGCTTCAGTGTCATGGGAAAAAAGGGTCACCTCTTCCGCTTCTCCTAGGAAGATTCTCTCTACTCCTGATGTTTTAGATTTTAAGCAAAGGGATTTCACCTCATTA